TAATAATATATAGTAATTATAATAAATAATAATATATAATTATAAAATAGTATATAGTAATTTATAAATACAGGTTTAAATAGCTGCATCTTTATATAATATTTCCAATTTTTTTAATACAAATTCTTGGAGTTATAGCAAACCTGATATATGTTTAAAGAATATAAGGAAGGTAATCACATGATTTGCATACTGTAAAAAGTGAGTTTTTATTTCTCTGCTTCTTTTCTAAATATCCTATATTTATTATTATTCCCTAATTTCTTCTAGTTAATGTAATACAATTAATTTAATAAAACAATTTGATGTAAATAAATAAATAAATAAAATATAATAAATTCTAATTGAAATATAATTTAACTCCTTGCACTATAATTTGATTCTCAAAAATGATGTATTGAGAAAGAATTTAATTAATCACTATACATCTATTTCATTTGGGATAAATTTATAGAAACATTTTACAATTTCCTCGAATTTTGTGCACGTTAAAAGATGTTAAATATAATTTTGGTCGTATGGCAAGTATAATTGCGATACTCAACAAGAACTCGTGACGAATTGAACTCGTTATTGCATTGGATTCTATTCTAATTTTAATCGTATAATCTATAAACAATTCAGTGTACTCACCAGTTGCTGCAAATAACTCTCCCTTTGGCAAAGAGCAACGTAACGTTCTTTGCCCGAGGTGGTTGACTCTAATGCATTGACTATTTGCAATTTATCTTCCTTATTCGACAAACGCCACTCTAACATCAGGCACAGAGCTTCTTGGGCAGCCTCGCAGCCTCTCACTGCCAGAAGTATACAATCGTCGCGTAGTTGCTTCATCAGCCAAGTAATAAAATTCTTCCTCCGACAGCAGCATGCCAATAAGGTGGTCAGCTATACGTAAAACAGTTATGAATTAATATCGTGTTTACACCTCGATTCCATTTATTTATGGAACGAAAATTATTTTATATTCACAGAATTTACAGAAATTATTTATTTATTCTTAGAATAGAAATTATTCTGTAGAACAATAAATGAGTCGTTTACAATCGTTTACAATCCTTAGTGATTAACTCCAATTTTTTATTTTTTTTTTTTAAATTCACTATCAAAGAACTTAATTTATGTTTAACTTTTTATATTTCAAATAAATTTCAACTTTCTGTCTTGTAGCATTGATAGATTTGGCAAACGAGCAGCTCTTATATTTATAGAATTTACAGAAATTATTTATTTATTTTTAGAATAGAAATTATTCTGTAGAACTACAAATATTTACAATTCTTAGCGACTAATTCTAATTAAAAAATTTTTTTATAAATTTACCGTCAAAGTACTTAATTCGCGATTAACTTTTTATATTTCAAATAAATTTTTGTTTTCTATTTTGTAGCATTCATAGATCTGGAAAATGAACAACTAAAATAGTGAAGCTTTGATTATATAGTAAACAGAAAATAACTTATTTATTAATACAAATGTATATAGGTAACAATAAACTGATAGTGATCTTCGTAAAAAAATTCGATTCAAGTTTATGAGAAATTTTTTGCACTTGGAGAAAAGCTTTTAATATTTAGGAAAAATATTCATCTTAAATTTTAGAAGAGGAAATTCTCTTTAAGGTCAGACAAGAATGTTTAAATTTTATTCAATTCTTATGGCAATAACTATCATTATCTTGTGCTAGGTTCGGAGCTTCCGGACCTCTATAATGAGTTGCCATATTGTGTTACTGTTACAAGCATGTCTGGAATGTAAAAAATCCAGCACGTGATGCATATGCAAATACTTATATAAAGTGTAAGCAATACGTAACATAGTAATCATTATTATCTAAATATCCATTTTCATTTATTTTATACGACTTGTAATACTGAAATATTATTTTAAAAATTCTAAACTCGAAATAGTTATTGCCACGAGTGTTCCAAGTAACAACGATCTGACTAAAATATGAAAGTTCTGAACTTTAGTTCACCTTATAAACCCTTTGCACTCGATAGGCGCTTCTCAGTCGCCATTTAATCAGATTCTAAAGATGGATGTTAATTAATATATCAAATTTACAATTATCCAACTATGCGTGGAATATCGAAGTAAAATAATTCTACGTCTTAATGTGCATACGGTTCCTTATTTACCGTTTTAAAAATATCGTCGATTTTATGACAGAAAGTCTTCGAATTATTTATTTTCCTGTAACGAAAAAATCGCCAAGTGCAAAGGGTTAGGTTAGGTTAAATTGCATAACTCTTTGTTAACGCGTAAAATTTATTTTCCTTCGTTGAAAAGATAAGTTTAGTTATATACAAAAATCTAGAATATAAGGTGTGAATAAATAGTTTATGAGACCTAAATTCCGAGCACGAATGTTTACATAAACATTAGATAAGAATTGGGGGTTTAGGCGGACTGTGCCATGTACAATCTTGATATTCTCTCTCAAGTCGGTCAGTTGCTCTAGAGGAACACTCAAAGATACATTCCTTGAGCAGTAAAAGATTTTAAAAGAGGATATATATACGTAGAATTGGAGTTTGGGTGAATCGACTTAATCCATTTGCATCCAAGCGCGGAATATTCCGCGAGTCACAACTGTTGTCTATCACCGAGCGCGGAATATTCCGCAAACCACGATAGTCGCTTATCACCGAGCGCGGAATATTCCGCGAGCTACGATAGTCGTCTATCACCGAGCGCGGAATATTCCGCGAGCTACGATAGTCGTCCATCACCGAGCGCGGAATAATCCGCGTGCTGACTTTTTCCATTACCAGTTGCTGAATATTCTTCATATGCCACAGATCACGTTTGATCCCTTTTGTGAGCATCTCATCTACATCGGTTCATTATATTCTTAACAAGTTTTACTTTTGTCGTGAAAATCCTTTTAACTGCCATTATGAGTAGGTGCTGATATGCGCATAGTGATACGGGCTAGTCGTCAGTTGAACCTCGCTGATGCCTGAACACGGCACCTTAAGTAGATCCATGATGCAAATGAGTTAAGATAGTAATTTTGGCTTCTTAACAGAATAAAATAAGCTTATAAATAGAATAATGGCTATGAAACAAGAGAGATTCGCTATGGACACGCTCTTCTGATCTTTCTTAGGCTGATTTGGACTTCTTTCATACTCTCTGACTGACACACTGACACACTCTTAACACGTTCGTCGCCCAACGCGATTCGGTTGAGTTTCTCGCGGGGCCCAAATCCTACTGTCTGAGCGCTAGAACGTTATCGGACTGATGATTTGGATGGGTCTAGTACAGACACTGCTCGTTAGATGTTGGTCAACGGACCCTATTTACAATTTTCCATTTCCTGTAATCGTTTTGAATTACCATCAGCAAACTTGCATTTTGCAAATAACCAAACGATAGAATAGAGTAGCAGACTTGGTAAAGTTTTACCACTCTAAACATATTGACAGACAATTACGAAAAATGTAAAAACACTACGACCTATTGTTCCAATTGTCCAAAATCACGACAAATGTGTTTAGACTGTTTTAACGAGTACCATGCGACATAGTATAATGTAATATTTTATCCTAAATATAAATTAACACTAGAATTATCAACCCAGACAAAATGACTGGTCCCAGAATTTTCCTTTTTGCAATCACCGAACACATACACCTGCTTTAAGAATAAAATTGGTATTAACTCATATTAACCCTTTTAGTGCCGAGCGAAAAACGGGTGCCTATGCGAAGATAACCGGACGAATTTACTAATAAAAATTTTTACCTAATTGAAAGAGCACAGTTCTTACACCCACTACACTATCATAAACATATTGTGATTACGGTCCCAAGAAACTATCCCGCGTCGAGTTTCTACCTTATTGCTCTAGCGTATACAGAGCCTCGACACCAACCAGCATAGAATATAACAAAAAGTTAAACCCAAAAACAATCTTTTAAATTCTTTTGGAATGAAATTAGACCGTTTATAACGATTTATAAATTTATTTTAAGATAAAACTTTCTCGCAATACGAAGAATAAGGCACCGTCGCATACGCAACGATATATCGTCGTTCGACACTAAAAGGGTTAAGAAAGAACTGTAATCAATATATTCACTCATATTCATCGTACCGCTGAAATTATTATAATCTGTACTCGTTATAGTTAGGTACCCATTAAAGATCGGTAGTTCTAGTGTTAATAAAAAGTATAGTATAATGTATAGTATATTTTTCATATTTTTATATTATATATTCTTAATATTTTTATGTTGTATATTCTATATTTATAATTCAATGCTTATTCCATTAAATTTCTTTTAAAAATCCAGCTGAAAATCCCATTTAACTTGAACAAGAAGAGCGTCACGCATATTTGGGTGACGGGGCCCCCACGGAAGCATACTCGTCACCCAAATATGGCTGACGCGGCGAAAGATTGCAAAAAGACTGGTTTAACCCTTTCGGTACGGAGGAGCTGGCCGCGGTTATACATTCGTGGAAGTTTTCCACAAGAGTGGTTGCACTGGAAGTCACGAAAACGTGTTTTGCGGTATTCATAGAAATCTCGAGCGTGATTGACGCTAAACTTTTCATTCGGACCGCGACAGTCATCGGTGACGTTTCGTGGATGCCGCCAATAGGTGACGGTAGTATCTAGAGAACGTTTCATAGATGCCGCCAATAGGTGACGGTAATACCCAGAGAACGTTTCATGGCCGCCGTCATTGGGCGGCAGTAGTACCGAAAGGGTTAACCGTTTGAGTCCCAGAGGGTTTTGAAAAAACACTGTCGAGGAAACCCAAACAGCGCGACCGCGCTGCCTCTAAGTGGGTACGAGAAGACCTAAGCAGCTTGATAGCGCTTCTTCTATTTTATGTCGAGAAATCCCAAGCGACGCGACAGCATTTCGTTTATATTATGGCGATGAATGGCCAAGTGGCGCGATAGCACTTCGACTTCGATAGTCGACAGTCAGCTATCGAGAACGCTCGAAATGTGCTGGGTTTTCTCGATATGAAATCTGAACAGCGCGATCGCGCTGCTTGGGACGTAACGGTTAAAAAACTCTTAACCATTTGCGCTGGAAAGACGTGTCACGCACGTCGTAATGCTTTTGTCACAGAATCGCCAACGACGTGGTATACACGTCGTTAGGCAATTGTTACAGAAACACTGGATCGTTCTGGCATACGCGTGTGTGAATTTCTTGTCACCGCAAGTGGTTGAAGACTGACTCGTCCGCGCTCTTGCATCCTTATTTAACCCTTTGACTACAGCGAACTTTGAAACGCACCGGATGTACCACACGGATAAGAATTCATTTATAATGTCCACCGAGAATGGCAAAATTTTGGGTAGAGATGCGCCCTCCGTGTCAGAAAAGCAAACTGTGTTGAGCGCTTATATGCGCCCTCCGTGTCAGAAAAGCAAACTGTGTTGAGCGCTTATATGCGCCCACCGTGTCACAAGGGCAAAATTTTTGAGCTCGTCCCACAGTAGCCAAAGGGTTAAACCATTAATTCTGTCCTCTTCCATACCCAGGCTTTCTTTCCTAATCATGCCCCTTTCCCACGCAACCTCAGTGGACCAAAGCACTTCAACCACTCCGAACGTATCCCTAAACTTTCATTCGACTTTGTCATAAATATTCTTTGCAGTCTATCTTCTTGCACACGATCACTTTCGTTCTGAGTCCAAACACTCTTGACATTTTTTCAGGGCCGTACTCATCCCAATCCTATATATATATCCTATTTATATTAATATCGTAGTTATTTTATAATTATAAATCCATAATCCCAATATCCTCCATTTGTTTCTGATAAGCATATCAATTATCGTATATTTTGCGCCCCAATTAATGAAAAGACAAAAATTTTTGTTGGATGACTAACGATTCGTTGGCCCTT